GCCCAAGGGATTTTTGCTAATCCAGCTAAAGTCTCTGTAATTAGTGATTGGCCAGAACCTACAACTTTGACAGAGGCCCGTAGCTTTCATGGATTAGCATCATTCAATAGACGATTCATCCAAGGTTTTAGTTCTATTACTGCTCCCATCACTGAATGTATGAAAAAAGGGGATTTCAATTGGACCCCATCTGCACAAAAAGCCATCATCGCCATTAAACAAAAGTTGATTGAAGCTCCCGTTTTACACCATCCCGATCTCTCCAACATTTTTTAGGTGTCCTGTAATGCTTCTAGTATTGGTATAGGTGGTGTATTAAGTCAAGAGGGTCACCCCATCGCTTATTTTAGCGAGCAATTAAAGTAGGTAAGCCCTATGTTAAAACACTGGGATGCATGCTCCCTTCCCTATTCCTCGTACTCCCTGGCGTGATCGTAGCATGGATTTTGTCCTTGGGTTGCCTAAAATCGCTAAGGTCATGATTTCATTTTCGTTGTTGTAGATAGATTCTCTAAGATGGCCCATTTCATTCAATGGTCCAATTCTAGTGACTCATCCTATATTGCCAAGTTATTCTTCAAAGAGGTTGTTCATCTACACGGACTTCAAGTTACTATTGTGTCTGAACGAGATGTTCAATTTGTTAATTACTTTTTAAAAACTCAATGGAAATTGTTGGGGACAACTCTTAAGTTTTCATCAGCATTCCACCCCCAAACAGACGGTCAAACAGAAGTAAATCATAGTCTAGGTAATTTACTTCATTGTTTAGTTGGGGAAAACTGGGTAATTGGGATTTGGTATTGCCTACCACCGAATTTGCGCACAATAATTTTTTCAATAGGTCTACCGGTCTGGTCATAGCCCGTTTGAGGTCATTCAAAGTTTCTCTCCACATCAACCACTAGACCTAGTTCCCTTACCTACTGATTTTCGTCCTGCTGCATCTGATATTAAAAGAAAGATTGCTTTAAGTAATGACCACTATAAATTGACAGCTGACGCACATCGTAGGCATAAAGAAATCAAGATTGGCAATTTTGTTATGATAAGACTTGTACCTGAACGTTTTCCAAAACATGCAGCAAAAAAATTTTGTGCTAGATCGCTTGGCCCTTTCACTATTATTAAAAGACTTGAAACTAACACTTATCTACTTGATTTGCCAGCACACTTAAATATTAGTCTAGTTTTCAATATAGCAGACTTGTATACTTTTCGTAGCACATTCGAGCCTTTGGTTTGTCTTCTAACATGCCTACCGGACAAGTTCCTCAATCGCTCCCTCGAGCCCCTATCACCACATTTTCACATTAAGATATTGTTGATGAGGTGCACAATGATGTGATCATTGCTTCCCAAAATGGTGGTTTTCGTAGGTTTCTTGCGCGTTGGAAAGGTCATCCGTTTAGTGATGCTACTAGGATTAATGAAGAAGAGTTTCATCAGATAGATGCAAAGCTTTTGGATGCCCACTTGGACTATACCTCGTCGGAGTC